CATATGTGTATGTGTGGGGGGGTATCTACTATTTCTAAAGTAGAGCTATCAAGAGCACATAACAATGCAGCTGAGGACTCGCACGTATCAAGCATTATTAACTCATCTAATCCACAGAACAACTCCAGGAGAAAGGACACTGCACCTTCAATTTACATGAAGAAATTATGGCACACAGAGTTCAAGTAACTTGCCAGAGGCCACGCAGATAAATACCAGACCCATGACTCGAACCCCGGCACTCGGTCCAGAGTCCTGTGTGCCTAACTCCCCCACCGTGCTGTCTCTCTGGTGCATGCAGCTTTCATGGGAATGTCGTGAGGATCAGGAAACATGCTGTTTGTGAAACACTAGCATAGAGCTGAGCACACACAGTGCAAGTCACTTTAGACATCAAAATGTCCCAAACCAAATAAATCTGACCTTTAAAAGAGAAGTAACATGGGTTTGCAGCAAGTGCTCCATAACCCCTGTATTGGAAAGGATCAGAAGTTGCACTGCACATGGTATCAGTCCACGATTACAACCAACACCGAATGTCCTGGCCCAGTGGGCATGCTATTTGTTACCTTGAACTTTCCATTCAATTTCATAAAGTTTAGGTACACATGAACAAAAGTAGACTTTGGGGTTTGTTGGTTTGATTGTTTGTTTATTGTGCTTATTATGAAAAACAAAGCACAGAATTTGAGCAGCAATAAGGCCACTAAAGGGTGTGTGAAGGGCAGGTTTGCACGCAGCTCCCTGGGGCAAGGGCACTGGAGCATGGCTGGAGGCTGTGTGCTGTCTACACTGCAGCTGCCACGACTCGGGCTGGCTGGAGGAGCTGGAGGAGACTGGAGAGAGTGGCGCTAATGGCTGCTGTGGGCTACTCTGTCAGGGACAATACATGATGCAGGAAAGATGTCCCCTTTCTGCAACCATCTGTTAGGAACTCTTCCCATCACCACGGACAGCTTTTCTTCTAAACAGACAGAAGGTGGCGAAGGCAAAGTAGACCACGCTGTTCAGGAGCAGGAGCAGGTAGGTGTAGTAGGCAGAGGTGCTGGTGAGCTGCTGCCCCTGTGCTTCTGAGAAAAGTCGTTCAGCTACTTTCACCTGTTCTTTGGACAGAGTAGAAATCATTAATCGGGAAGGGATCCCAAATATTTATTTCTGATGATCTGAATCATTGAAATGATATCCCACCACCACCAAAACCCAAAAGTAAACATGTGCCATCACCACCAGAGCAAGACAAGTCAGTTCAGCTCACAGGTCAAGTTGATTAACCTCTGCTCAATGCACTTGGAACATTCCACAATACAGAAGAATAAGTTTGGGTTTTTACTGAACGAGTCAAATGAAGAAAAAAGTATTGTTATAAATAGATTCTAGAATTTCTTCACCCCCCAAATGTTCTAAGTAATAATAACATCAATATTTATTAACTGCAATCTAAATAGCAAACACTATTCTGAGAGCTTTGCTTGTAGAGCTTTTATCTTATTTAATCTTCATAACAAGCTATGAGAGAGATGGAAAAGGGGAGATTATTTTCATTCCCATTAACAAATAAAGAAACTGAGGACAGAGAGAAGGGATTTGGCTCATGACGTGCATTCAGTGTCAGAGCCCAGCTTACAGCCCCAGCAACAAGATGCTAAAGAACACATGGAGCTGCTCTGTAATTCTACATCTTCATGTGCAATAAACTCACCAGACGTCAAAAGGTTAAGCCTAAATACAAAGATGAGTTGCTGATTTAGAAGCATCCACGCCATCGCACACTTTGTGTGCAATGAGACCTCTAGGAAGGGTTCAGTGCATGGGAATTTGGTCGTGTTTGCAGCAGGGTGGGTGGGAGGTTTTAGTAAAGAGGGCTTTATAGAAAATGGGAGAATGTGGTTAATCCAAATTCTCTGCGACGTTAGGTGGTTGTGACACACTCACCTGTCTTTCCTAAGTTTCTCATTGTGGCTTTGATGTTATTGGGTAATTGCACTTAACACCAGTTGAAGGTTTGCAAGACCCACGTGATGTCAAGGAGTACTTAAATACCATCGTGGGCCACAGTGGCTACATGGTGAGCCGTGGGGCCAAGTCACTTCCTGTGGAAATTTCCATTTTACATGTTCTGTCTTCATAGAGTCAAAACTCCAGAAGCATTAGTCCGTGGTGTAGAAAGATTCCTAACTCCCTGCCTTTGGTTGCACGACATGTTACCTCCACTCCTCACTTGTGTGGCAGCTGAGGTCCGAGCTCCCTTGATACTGGAATAGAGGAAGGGTCAGCAGGGCTGGAGCCCATGCTTCTAGTCGTGTTCTCTGTGGACATGCAGAGAGAAAGGGCCAGGACCTAGTGCGTATCCTGTGCCTACTAAATGAGATTCCCAGTGCTAGACGTGTCACATCTGCGCCCTTATCTCTTCAACAAACACGAGTTTGGTGTAATTCTTCTCACTGACATATGAGAAAGTACCACTCACAGAATGCAAGACACTTACCCATGTGCATGCCACTAGTCACTGAGAGTACTAGGGTGGGGGCCGGTCTGTGGAAGTCAGAACCCACTCCCTCTCCCCACACCCATGTGTCCTTCATGTCCTGGGGCCTCAGCTGCAGAATTTCTTACTCCATGACTACATCACAAAGGAAGAGTAGAGAACTTGGATTGTGAAATCTTCATCAGAAGGCCTCATTTGAAACCCCAGATCTGACTGGGTGGCATGTGTCAGGGACTTAATTTTCCCTCATCACCCTCGTGTGTGGAATGGGTGAACANAGCCGTGGGGCCAAGTCACTTCCTGTGGAAATTTCCATTTTACATGTTCTGTCTTCATAGACTCTAAACTCCAGAAGCATTTGTATGTGGTGTAGAAAGATTCCTAACTCCCTGCCTTTAGTTGAACGACATGTTACCTCCACTCCTCACCTGTGTGGCAGCTGAGGTCCAGAGCTCCCTTGATACTGGAATAGAGGAAGGGTCAGCAGGGATGGAGCCCGTGCTTCTAGTCGTTTTCTCTGTGCACATGCAGAGAGAACGGGCCAGAACCTAGTGCTTATTCTGTGCCTGTTAAATGAGATTCCCAGTGCTAGACATTTCACATCTGTCCCCTTATCTCTTCAACAAGCACGAGTTTGGTGTAATTCTTCTCACTGACATATGAGAAAGTACCACTCACAGAATGCAAGACACTTACCCATGTGCATGCCACTAGTCACTGAGAGTACTAGGGTGGGGGCCGGTCTGTGGAAGTCAGAACCCACTCCCTCTCCCCACACCCATGTGTCCTTCATGTCCTGGGGCCTCAGCTGCAGAATTTCTTGCTCCATGACTACATCACAAAGGAAGAGTAGAGAACTTGTTGTGTGAAATCTTCATCAGGAGGCCTCATTTGAAACCCCAGATCTGACTAGGTGGCATGTGTCAGGGACTTAATTTTCCCTCATCACCCTCGTGTGTGGAATGGGTGAACAATGTTGCCCCAGTTCCTGGGAACATCTAGTTCCTGTTATTAGTGACCAGCAAGGACCAAAGACTAAAACATAAACAAGTGATCTGGAAGCAACTTGGTATCAC